GTTTAAGGCTATGGTCTCTCAGATACCACAGTAGAGTATAGAGGTACAGGAAGTCCCGGGAGGTAGGTTCAGCGTGGAGATGGGAGCACTGAGATCAACTACTGCGATGGCGGCGGGACTCAAAGGGAGACCTTCATCCAGCAGTGGATTTCTAAGGCCTCCAAGCTTATTTTAACATACCTTCGTGTGTTGTTAAATCTATTGACTTACGCAAGCATGATTCATTTACGATGCGGACAATCCGCCCAAAGACACTGAAGAGTCAACTGCACAGAGCTCATGTGCGTATGTTGGAATACCTTTGCACTGCGTGTAGCAAACCGTGCTAATCAGGTGCGGGGGAAGGACAAAAAACTAAACAAAGCAGTTTGAAAGAAATTAGTTTTAAATTTAGTATAGTAGTGGTGTATAGTAGTGTTGTGTCTGTTTAACTTATTTTAAATCGAGATTTAAAAGTGCATAGCTCCAAGTGGCTTCCTAATATAGGAAGGGACGAGCATTCCGGATGGCCGCAGAAGCGCATCTGAAAGCGCCACGAGATGCGGTGACGGTCTTTGTTCGATGGTTAGCCAAGAGCCGCTGCTGTGAGAATGACAGTCCGTGGGCCCAGACCAAATATTGCACTTGCTGGTACCCCATAGCTGGTACCCCATAGCTGGCACCCCATAGCTGGCACCCCATAGCTGGCACCCCATAGCTGGCACCCCATAGCTGGCACCCCATAGCTGGCACCCCATAGCTGGCACCCCATAGCTGGCACCCCATAGCTGGCACCCCATAGCTGGTACCCCATAGCTGGTACCCCATAGCTGGTACCCCATAGCTGGTACCCCATAGCTGGCACCCCATATCTGGCACCCCATAGCTGGCATCCCATAGCTGGTATCCCATAGCTGGTACCCCATAGCTGGTACCCCATAGCTGGTACCCCATAGCTGGCACCCCATAGCTGGCATCCCATAGCTGGCACCCCATAGCTGGCACCCCATAGCTGGCACCCCATAGCTGGCACCCCATAGCTGGTACCCCATAGCTGGTACCCCATAGCTGGTACCCCATAGCTGGCACCCCATAGCTGGTACCCCATAGCTGGCACCCCATAGCTGGCACCCCATAGCTGGCACCCCATAGCTGGCACCCCATAGCTGGCACCCCATAGCTGGCACCCCATAGCTGGTACCCAATAGCTGGTACCCCATAGCTGGTACCCAATAGCTGGTACCCCATAGCTGGTACCCAATAGCTGGTACCCCATAGCTGGTACCCAATAGCTGGTACCCCATAGCTGGTACCCCATACCTGGGAGGTGGCACCGCTTCCGTACTTCCAATTTCTTTCATGCGTGAAAACAACAATGAATACTCACGTGACTACCATTTGCGATGATTTTCTCATTAGCTGTGGCTCACGACAATATAGGGGGGTGGGTGAAGGTAAATAGCTACCAAGACCGGATGACGGGGCAAGGAATTAGTCTGGACTTGCAGAGGAAGGGGCTGTGTTGAAACAGTACCAATGTGTCTAGGGGAGGCCCTTCATTTAAGATGACAGGCTCCCAGCAAAACATGAAACCCCCTACAAAAATCACATCAACCCCTACAGGACTCGCATCAACCCACATTAGCACTCAATCACATTTAACCCCCACCGAGATGTCTCACATTAGACCCACAAGAATCACAACACGACAATATGGGCCTGGGTCAGATTGATGACCAGTGTGTGGATGTTCTCTCTCTCTTCTGCGTGCGTTTTCTACATACCTCCCAGAAGTAAAACAATTACAATGCCATTGGTGTTCGCCAAACAACCAATGCAAGACTTTGTGGAAGAGTCTTCTGACTTTCATATGGAAACAAATACACTATACACTTGTATTATTAAAAGTACCCCCACAGACACGAAAATAAAACACTCATTTCATAGCACCCACACCCAAATCCCCCTGCACCAATTCCACAGGCAAGGAGAAAGACAACTTCAAATCGCGTGAAACCAAAAATAATTGTAAGCATCCGAATAGGATCAATACCAAGCACAAACATACCCACACCTCACCCCTCCACAGCTCCCACACAACCACGCAAAACTCGCACCTACTCCTCTACGGCATCCACAGCTACTCCCTCCACGGCACCAACGCTTACTCCACAGCACCCAGAGCCAACCTGCCCGCCATATAATGTTGAGGATGTGAGTCATCGGTGCTGCGATTTCCATAGGGTCAATGCAAGTCCTGTTTGGGTAGACGTGATACCTGTGGGGGTTATTGCGAGTCCCTAGCGCAAGTCTTATCGAGGTGGGCTGTGTTACTACAACTCGCAGCAACTTGGCTTTATTTTTTAAGCAACTCTAGATAGCATCTATTGTGTGTTATACCCCCCCACCCCGAACCTTGGATTGTCAGGAGTGGCTACACACGGCAAGCAAGAAGCTCAACATGCATGGATATGAAAAATGAGAATAGGCTTTACCCTGTCTGGCAATAACACAGGTGTACTATGTTCAAACACCAAATAGACGGAAGGGCGAACAGTAAAGGTCCTATAGATATGTGTGCATATGCTAATCGGAGGTGAGGGGGGGACAACATGCACGTATATGCATGCACGTATATGCATGCACGTATATGCATGCACGTATATGCATGCACGTATATGCATGCACGTATATGCATGCACGTATATGCATGCACGTATATGCATGCACGTACGAATAAACGTAACGCGCCAAATCCACCCCGCAGCTCCCACACCGACTCTGGAGCACCCACACCAACCACTCAAAACCCACACACCTACTACTCTACAGCACACCCATACCAACCACACAAAACCCACACACCTACTACTCTACAGCACACCCATACCAACCACTCAAAACCCACACACCTACTACTCTACAGCACACCCATAGCAACCACACAAAACCCACACCTACGTCACAGCACATACAGAACGACACGTATGTATATACAGTATATAGAACGGAGGTACATGGTCGATTGCAGTGGGTAACGCTCGTGGCCTGAATACAGAAAACCCGAGTTCGGCCACCTTTGTGTGCAAATATTCCCCCTCATTCTGCATGGGATTCCTCACGTACAGTGGTAACAATGCCAATGGTGTTCAAACATCCAACGCAAGACCCTCCTTAAAAACAATTCTGCCTCGATGCAGTTTTTCCTCGGTAACTAAAGTGAACTATTATTTTACCATTAAAATGACTCCACAAACAAACCCATTAAACATGGACCATAGTCACCACAACCACCGCAGCTCTGTCTAGACAAAGCCCTTTCTACCCCTCAGCATACAAACAGCGACCGCCTTTGTAGCGCAGTGCCGCTAACCGCTGCGCCACCGCTCCCCAGCGACACTGTATAAACATGCAAATACAGTACCGCAGATTGGCTACGGCGCGAAAGAAGTTCTGCGCGCCCATTGAACGGAGGCACTGCATTGCACAACTACACCAACTCTCTCCCGATGCTCTAGCAGACATCGTGGACATTGGAACATCATGCCACACGCAAGACGATATCGAGATACACAGAGACTCGTAGAGACCCATTAAGGTAGGGACAAGGGATTAAGACGCTTGGCATTAAATCCAAGCCACAGTTAGTACGAGTATGGCCATGCAACACAAAACATTAAGGTATAGAAACACTGTAGTATGGGCTTATAAAAACTATTTTTATTTCACCAGCAAAGACCCACTGAGCGATATAGCTCTTCCTCAGAAATGACCTCAAGGAAGTGGATTTCCATCACGTGGCCATTTATATTAGTAGCCAAATACCCTAAACACGTGATGTTGATTCTAATTGTTGAGGCAAAACCCCGAGGACCCGGAGAAAAATCCACGCCACCACGTGGAGAACGCGAAACATGCAGCAGGCGTCAGGATCGAAGCCACGACCTCCCGTATCGCGGGCGAGGGAGTTAACATCTCGCCGCCGCTGTGGCTTCAGCGGAGGATTACAAACAAAACGACAACACGTCGACCCTGAAGCCCTCTTCCTCGCGGCGAGGCAAAGCTCGACATTTAGCTCTGGAAAACATCGCCACCGCACCTAACGACATTGCCACGATAACGCAAAACATTACCACGATACACCCGTGTTGTGTAAACATCGCTTGAAAATAATCACGGCGCTTTCAACCGTAACTCATCATAAACAAACCCCAAAACTCACCAATTATCTCGGCTGGCTCTTGATTCTCATCAACAATCATCTCAATTGATGACCCCAAAGCCACAACAAACACCATACTGCGAGTGGCAGCATCGATGAAAAACCGCAGGGCACGTGAGGTGGATGGCAAGCACCACGCACGACCGCCTTTGTCTCCCCAGTGGCGATGTTCACTGCACACCGCACCAGCTATTCACTTTCGAGACCGAGTCGACCACGGGGAGGAGGAAGCCCACGACCGGCTCAGACGATCGCCACCACCATCACCACCATCACCAGCATCGCTGCTGGTCTGGAGCGGGAATCGAACTCCGGTGGGCAGAGCGCGCCAACCCCCCTCAGCCATCCTCACCCCGCCCCTCGACGCGGACCACGTGACGGAGATCCGGGCCAATAGGACGCGCGCTGGTTTCGCGCATGCGCAGAGCTACCCCCCCCTCTCCACGAGCCCCGCCCCCTGTACCCGCCCCCTCAGCCAACATGGCTGCGCGAGTCGGAGCTCGGCTCGCGCCGCTTCGGTTCAACCAGTCCTCCCTACCTCGGAGGCCGCTCCACAAACGGCAACTGCTACTCGGCCTCCTCTATTCGATTCGGCTATGGCTTTGTGTTGGTGTAATAATGTAAACGAAGTTGGGGTGGGGGGGGCGAGAAGGCGGGCGGGTGGGGGGGGGGTTAAAAAAAACCACAACATAGAAAATGGCGCCTCCAGCGGCGTCCTCGCACCCCGGAGGTGACGCTCGTCTCCCGACCCCGCCACTCCCAATCGGGGCCTCTGCGCACACAAATACCGCGCGCGTACCGTGCGTCGCCGCCGCGGCTCGCGGAAGGACAACTCCGTGGCGCCGGATGGCTGTGCACGTTCATGAGACGACTTGGATGACGCGAGGGGCTGCGCTGCCTCAGCCCAGGCCGCCCCTACAATGGCGCTGCCCGCGAGCGCCGCTTATATACGGGGGTCGTCCCGTCATGGCGCGCTTCCATTGGCTCGCACCGGGTCACGTGGCGTGCAGCGGAGGGGGGGGGCCCAAGCCGCGACCAGTCGACGTGGCCCCGCCCCCCCTCTCGTCCTCATGGCCCCGCCCTTCGTCGTGCCAGTGTCGCGCCAAAATCCTTGCCCGGCTTTCCCCTCGGCGATAGATTCCTTTGGCAGTTTCTCTTCGCTCGATGGCGTCCGCCGCCGTCCACTCGCGTTCGCCTCCGAGTCTCGGCTCGGAACGTCCCCGAGCCTCCGCGACGGTCATGGCGGCGCTCACCGCCGCCTCCACTGGGCGTGACACTCGCCCCTCCCCCCGTCCCGTCCTCGCCTCCCATTGGTCGCGCGCAGTCACGTGGCGCAGACGGAGGGGGGGCCCCCGCCGGGTCACGTGGCAGAAACTTCGAGAAGAAGCGATGACGTCACCGCTATGGCTGACGACGCGAAGCGACTTCTCAAAGCAGAACTGGCGCCGCTGCCGCCCCCCAGCACGCACGGAGCGAGTGGAGAGAGGCAGGCCCCTCCGGGCGGATAAACCCCCGCGAGAAGCGACCCATGAACGGACGATGCTCGTTGCGCCCGATGAGCCGTGGCACTCGCGCCGTCGTAGTTTTCGCCTTGCGATCGCAATAAAACGATGGCTGACCCTCCAGCGCGGCCCCGCCCCTCCCCCTCCAGCCCCGCCCCTCCCCCTCCAGCCCCGCCCCTCGCCAACCCCCCCCCCCCACCACTTCCCTGAGGTCCACGCGGAGTCGACGTCACGACCACCGGCTCACGCGCATGCGCACTGTGCGGTGGAACGCGCGGGAAATGAAAAGGCTGTGGGCACGCGCATGCGTAGTTGGTGTCAGCTCCTCTCCCCTCGTTCTACCCCCCCCCGCCTCACTCGCCCACTGCCCTTGGACAATCGCTGGTCACGTAATTCGCCGCGTCGCGCGCATGCGCAATGGGCGGCTCGATTGCGCGGGAAAAAATGAGACTTCAGCGGTGGGGGGGGTGTAGCTGCGCATGCGCAGTTGGTGTCTGTAACGATATCACCACCCGCCCCTCGCCTCACGTGACCTCTGACCCCCCTCCTCACCGCCCCGCCCCCCGCGATGCGCGCGCCACTGCCCCAGCTCGACTAGATGAAGGCCTAAGCTGTATACAGTAATAATAATAAATTAAGATTTCAACGTTTAAGCTTCCCTAATTGAGAGGTCGTTTCCTCACAGTTGCGCTTCTTTTGTCGTCTGCGAGCCGATAGGCGACGCGGTAAGTTTGAGGTTTGACGGAATCTCTGCTTGGTGTGTTAACGGATTTGACGCGTGGCCTTGTGGCGTGTGGCAGCGAGTCGTGGGTCTTTGTGTTAATTTCATCATCATCGTAATGATGCGGTTTTTTGTATTATCCTTAATGAAATTAATGTCGTATTTGTGAATGTTGTAAGTGTTTAATGTGGTTTAGTCGGGTATCGTTTTAGGCCGTGAGTGTCTGCTGTAGCTGACTCTGCACTTTGCCATTACTCGGTGAAATGCTTGTGCAATGTTGTCATAGTATTCATACGCTAAGTGATGAATGTTATCATTGTTAAGTAAAGTGATCATTTGTTTAATTAGTGTCGATGAGGTTCTGGCCTCGCTCTTGAGCGGCTGCTGTCAACTGCACTTTTATCAAAATGACCGGCTAAATATGATACAGTACAATACTGTTGTTTTGTAATTAATGTTAATGTGAGTGTTCATTAGTTTAATTAGTGTCGTTGATGCCACGTCGCTAATGGGTGGCTGATATCGACTGTCTTCCCAACTGGCAGGTTAAATGCTGTCATCATCACGATCCATGGGCAGATGGGCCCATAGGTGTCCTGCACGATTCGTCATATTTCCGCTTTCCTCTCTGCCTTGTGCTAATGTGCTCCAGTAGTGCCACATCTTCATCACACAGATCTCTTATATCGTCAAGCCATTTTCTACATCATGGGACCTCCTTTGCCAGTACCAAAATATGAGAATCGGTTTCCCCCTATTTTCTGGCAACAAAACAGCTGTGTTAAGATGTTAAAACGCCAAAGTGAAACCTTTTACAAGGAATCATGTCTGCCTTAACCACAATGCTTGTGGTCAGAATGCAAACAAAATACGTACTCTGATAATATATGCATTGTCTTTGAAACTGATTGCTAAAAGGTTTCAGTTTGGTGTTTTAACATCTTAACACCCGTTTTCTTGCCATAGTAAAGGGGCAAATCTATTCTCAAGACATTTTCTGTTACGTCTAAATTCTGTACAAATCTATAAATGTGTCGCTACACCCGCCACCACCCGAAACAGCCAATTCGTAAGGTTTGTCACGTAAACAGAACGTGCCAATTAGCCACTAATTCAGCACACCGCTGTGTGTTGGGGAGTAATTAACGACGTTTCGCTGGTGAATTAGAACGAGCTTCATCAGGCGATAGCCAGAATTGTGAAGAAAGTCCAAGTTCTGTCTTAAAGAGCTACAGGCTTAGTGTTGCTTGGAAGTGTATTGTCAAGTAATACGCTGTTTAATTGGGTGCCTTGGCAGGTCCACCATACGTTGATTAACTGTGACTGAATGTGTGTATAGCTGCTACCATCCGTGCCGGTCTTATTGTGCCTACGTCACACCCCGTTGCCCGTCCGCAGAAGCCAGCGTGCGCTCGTTCGCTCGCGGGTTCCCGCGGCCAGGGAGAGGGAGGGGAGAGGAGTGTAACTGCGTGAGGACCGGATCCCGCGATGGCGTCGGAGGAGAAGAAGGCAGAGGCGGACGGAGAGAAGTCGCAAGCGACGGCGCCACCGACGAGTTCCAACAGCCAGGGCAAGGTGCGGCGCACGCAGGGGGTGCCCTCCGGATGACTGCTCCCTTCCCATACTGAAGAAAACGATTGGGATGAGTGATGATGGTGATTCGGGGCACCACGGTGGCGAGGTGTTAACTACCTCGCCTGGTATACAGAATGTTGCTGCGTTCGATCCCGACCCTGACGCCTGCTGTATATTGGAGTTTGCATGTTCTCCCCATGTTTGTCTGGATTTTTCTCCAGGTCATCAAAGTCACGCGTTTAGAGTATTGGACTGCTATAAATTTACACACGATGAACCACTTGGTTGAGCTATCATGTGTGGCCAGGTCGCTTCTGAAAAAGAGCTTTATAGCGCAGTGGGCTTTACATAATGAAAAAAAAATGCTTAGTTTTTAAGTAGTTTAACAATGATGATGATGGCAATGATGATAGTGATGATGCAGTTGCCAATTGATGTAAATAATGACGATGATGATTTTGTCTCTTCCCCCGTCTGTCCCCCCTTTCCCCCACCCCCCTCTCCACCCCCCTCTCCCCCCCCTCTCCCCCACCCCCCTCTCCACCCCCAGCCGACCCCCATGAAGCCCAACTACACGCTCAAGTTCACGCTGGCCGGCCACACCAAGGCCGTGTCCTCCGTCAAGTTCAGCCCCAACGGAGAGTGGCTCGCCAGTTCCTGTGAGTTCTCTCCATAATCCAGACAGCGGCGACGTTAAAGCAGCTGATGTGGTGACGCTGCTGTGTCAGCAGTGGTGCACAAACTCAACTATTTAACTAAAATATTTTTAATTTTACCTGGTAAGGCCCACTGAGCTAAATAGCTATTTTTCAGAAGTGACCTGGCCACAAATGATAGCGCAACTAAGTGGCTTATCACTTGGCAATGTATAGCAGCCAAATACTCTAAACGCACATTGATTCTATATGTGGAGGGAAAAACCGGAGTACCCGGAGAAAAATCCACGCAACCACAGGGAGAACGTGCAAACTCCAAATATACAGCAGGCGTCAGGGTCGGGGATCGAACTCACGACCTCCTGTAAATCGGGCGAGGTAGTTAACATCTCGCCACTGTGGCGCCCAAGCACAGATAACAAACAACTCAACTCGTGAGTCAATGCTATTCTTGCGCACGATGGCCGTATGTTCAGGAGCTGTATACCAACTAGGAGGTCTGCTGCTGACCACGACGAGACGGCTTCAGCAGAGAGTCGTGTTTCTGTTCCTCCTCCGCTGAAGGAGCGCAGACATCGGTGGTGTTACTGTGCGGTCCATAGTGTGGGTTGGATGGTCAAACTCGCACAACTGTGTCTGCTCTTTACTGTATCTCTGTGGGTCTCTGTATCTCTGAGTCTCTATGTCTGTGTGTCTCTGGGTTTATTATATGGTCTATAGTTTGAGTTGCCTGGCCACAATCACACAACTGTGTCTTGTCTTACTGTATCTCTATGGGTCTCTGTATCTCTGAGTCTCTATGTCTGTGTGTCTCTGGGTTTATTATATGGTCTATAGTTTGAGTTGCGTGGCCACAATCACACAACTGTGTCTTGTCTTACTGTATCTCTATGGGTCTCTGTATCTCTGAGTCTCTATGTCTGTGTGTCTCTGGGTTTATTATATGGTCTATAGTTTGAGTTGCATGGCTACAATCACACAACTGCTGTGGCTGTCTTAAATTAACATTCATGAAGGCGACGGGGTGCTGCATCAGCATGTTGATGTTCTGATGCGGTTGATAGTTACAGCAGTGTCTTCAGGAAGGAATGTCAAGCCAGGAGGTTTGCGATGTTGGGGTCTCGAATGAAGTGTTTATTCTGGAGTAGTCGTCAATAAGACTGCCTTGGCCTTTCAAAGGAAATCATATTTAGTAGGTGCTACTATCCACATACAGCAATACCTTGACTTTCGTCGCTTCGCTCTTTTGGCCGTTTTCAATTATAACCACATTTCAAATTTCGTCCGCCTGCTTTTCTCTTTCGTCCGATTTCATCCCAAACGTTCCACAGCGTTCGTACCACGCGCCATCTTTTTCGTTCAGTCTTTGAATAGAAGTCGTTCAGTGAGCATCTCTTATATTTGTGTTTATTCATACGTTATTAATACTGTACTTATTTCTGTGATTTTCCTGTAAACAATTCGTAGTTATTTTTGTGATAACAGTATCATACTACAGTGTTCATAGTTATTTTCGTGATTATAAAACACGTGTACAGTATTCATACAGTGCTTATTTTTGTGATTACTGTGAAATACTTATTTTTGTGCTTTAATATATTCATAATGGGTCCTAAGTGTGGTGATAGTAAAGCTAAAGGAATCCATAATGTTCTCAATTTGCAAGAGAAGCTTGACATAGTCAAACTTCATGAGCAAGGCTAAATAAAGGCTCTGCTTTGACATTCGCAACCAGGCGAAAGTGCTCGGTGTTCCTGTGCACACCGCACCAGATGCTCGTATGTCAGGCCGGGTGGACAATATCCTATAACACTCGCCACTCTGAGCCGCGTGTGCACCTAACGTGCGTGTCCTGTTGCGCACTTTTCAAAATATATAAATGGGCGACGTTTCAGGCAATTACTCTTCTACATAGCACGTGAAAAGGTTCGATTTAAAAAATATTTATGTGGTTCCTCTTAAAGCCACACAGTGTTGTTGACCAATGTGCTGGGTTTTGTTAACGGCCATATAAATACAGTCTGTTCTCCTATAACGCGCTTGTTGTGTTCCTGAAGAACAACGCATTGTAGAAAAATTGCACTATGATCAATAATATAGAGTAAAGCACAGTCCACGATAACAGGTGAGATGCGTGTACAGGCTGAAAAAACACTGAGGCGCGTGTAGGGTAGCATCATTCAGCTGCATCCCGCCTTGTGCGAAGCTATGCCGAGTCAGCCGTACGACCGTTGATTATCACTCACGCGACGTACACAAAAATGACACGCATATGAATGTATCGGGGAACACATTTTTTATAACGCGGATGCGAATTGGATATAACGTGATCCAGTGAGCAGAAGTATGTACTGCATGTTATTGTGTACGGTATGTGTGTGTGATGTGTGTATGTGTGCCTGTTCATTCACAGCCGCTGACAAGCTAATAAAGATTTGGGGTGCATACGATGGGAAGTTTGAGAAGACCATCTCGGGGCACAAGCTGGTGAGGGGGATCCACCCAAATAAAGACAAAGATTCCCCGTATAACCTTGCCATACTCTTAGAGCAAGTGCTGTTAGCTAGCAGCAACTGTGAAGGCCGGCACTGCACACGAAGGGGGGGATGTCCAGCGTCACGCCTGGCCGGCCACTCCTGTCTCTCTACTGCCGATGTTTACACACTGCACCAGATACTATTTTTTGGGGTTGAGTCGACCTAGGTCAGGACTGATTCAGATAATCTACGCTGTTGTTGGTCGTGAGCGGGAATCAAACTCGGGTCTTTGGGTTTATAGTGCAGAGGTCTAACCACGACACTCCCGCTCCCAATTTGGAACCCCAGTCTGTGAGGACGCTATTGTGATAGTACAGGACATCATCTATCCGACCATCACATTTCCACCGTGACCAATTTACTGCTCAGGCCCAGTGCACTATTTGTGCTTGGCATAACAACTATAATTTTCTGTAGACATTCACATATCTGACCTTTTCACATATCTGCTCATAGCTATTGAGTGGGATATACGATCTGCTGCTCCTGATGATGATGGTGGTGAATGCTGCTGATAATTGTAATGCTGCTGATGAAGATGCTGATGCTGCTGCTATTGATAATGCTGATGATGATGCTGCGGCAGATGTTCATAAAGCTGCTTATAATACTACTGATGCTGTTCTTGCTGGAAATGATGATGCTCATGGTGCTGCTACTCTTGGCAATTAATACTCATGATGTTGCTGCTACAGCAGGTGATGCGGATGACGATTCTGTGGATGCCGCTGCTACTGATGATGATGCTGATGATGATTGATGATCTTCACAGGGTATCTCCGACGTGGCATGGTCCTCGGATTCGAATCTCCTTGTCTCAGCCTCCGATGACAAAACCCTGAAGATCTGGGACATGAACTCGGTAGGTACCAACTCGATCTCTGACCCTGACCGTGGACCCCGTGACCCAAATGCCCAGTCGCATCACGGTGGCTCGGAGATGTTAACTACCTCGCCTGGTATGCAGGAGGTCGTGGGTTCCATCCGGACCCTGACGTCTGCTGTATATTTGGTTGCACGTCTCTCTCCCCGTGGTCATGCAAAATTTTCTCCGGGTTCTCTGGGTTTTCCCTTCACATTTAGAAACATGTGTTTATAGAGTATTTGGCTGCTAGAAATGTGTAATGGGTTCACTCAGGCGCACACTGGAACTTGGGAGGCAACACTATTTATTATCCACACAAAGGTAACTCTTAACATAGAGTGGTGACCACCGACCTATCCTCGCTGACACGCACCAACACGCACCATCACTCACTAACACTCTCTCATACGACTAGCGTGGCCAAGCCAGGAGGGGGCTACTGGCTGGCCACCCTGACCACTTGAGGCTTGACTCTTCTTCTTCTTCACGAGGCGTCTTCACGAGGCATCGTCACCCCGGACACGAGCAGCCTCGAACCCGCTGCGGAGGCCGCTTATATGCGCCTCGGCGTGTCCGGGCCACACCCCGGCCACGCCGACCTTCAAGAACTCTTGCGAAGGCTCCTCTCCTGTCCACGTGGTCCCCAAGGGGCCCCCGGGCCCCACCTTGATCCGGTCACGTGTCCAGCCGGGTTCACCCAGAGTGCCACGGCCTCACACAATCCCCGCGGTACTGACCCACGGCCTCCAGACCCCCCGAAGCGGCTGTGACGTCATTCCCGCAACCAGACGTGATGACGTCATGTGTGTGTGTGTGTGTGGACCCCCGTAGTGGTGACGCTCCCCCGCGTAGTGACGTCACGTGTGTGTGTGTGTAGGTCCACACGGTAGTGACGCTCCAAGTCACTACAAATGTGCACATTAAGCCACTTTGTTGAGCGTTATTTGTGACAGCCAGGTCGTTTCTGAAAAAGAGTAGTTGAGCTCATTTTATTGGTTGGATGACAGAGCCGCAAATCGGTGACGGTCATCTATTGGATGACATGCCCAGAATATTCGTGGTGCATGCAGCACTACCGTGCCTTTACCGTGCCTTTACCGTGCCTTGCCTTCTCCGCCCTCCCTTGCCCCTGATGGCCCTGCAGGGTAAATGCCTGAAGACCCTGAAGGGACACAGCAACTACGTGTTTTGCTGTAACTTCAACCCGCAGTCGAATCTCATCGTCTCGGGCTCGGTGAGGATCGTGCACACATGAAGCGTGAGCGTCTCTGCGTGAGCGGCTATGCGTGAGCGCGTGTGGGGGGAGCAGTGGCTATGAGCCCGGGAGCCCGAGTTCGATTCCCGTTTATGGTCACCAACATCGGCGACGATTATCTGAACCGATCATGAGCCTCCCGTAGGTCGACTCGGCCCCAAAAACGAGTACCTGATGGAGTTTGTAAAGATCGTCACTCGGGAGGCAAAGGTGTCCGGGCGTGGTGCCGGCCCCTCCCCACCCACCCGTGTGCCTGTGCCGGCCTTCATCGGTGCTGCTCGCAAACGGAACTTGCCCCAACAGTCTGTTAACGACTACGCAGGGGATCTTTGTCTTGGGTGTGAGGAAACGTGTGTAACGTGTAGTATGGTGTGACGTGGTGTGATGTGTGGCGTTGTTGGCACAGTAGGGGGCACAGTGGTCCGTCAACCCATGGCACCTGGGTCTGTCCCGTGACCTCCTGTCAGTGAACCTTTGATACTTCACGTGGCCTCAAAGTGTACACCTAGCCTGGCACCGGCACCGTGGTGACGTCACCATCGCTTAGTGGTGAATGGCGGGTATTGGTGCTGTGGTGAAGCACGGCCTTCACCACAGCACCAGCACCCTGCTAATTGTCGCTGTCGTTAATCGACCCTGTCGTTGCTGTGACCCCAGTTTGATGAGAGCGTGCGCATCTGGGATGTGAAGACGGGGAAATGTCTCAAAACGCTGCCCGCACACTCCGACCCCGTGTCAGCGGTGAGATGCGCCCCACCTGCGGAACACCAGCACACCCAAACCGCACCATCGCACCCCACCGCACTGCACCATCACACCCAACCACAACACACCGCCGCACACCGCCGCACCACTGCCGTGTGAGCTGATATCCGTGTCGCTTTTGTGTCAGGTTCACTTCAACCGGGACGGCTCTCTCATCGTGTCCAGCAGCTATGACGGGCTGTGGTGAGAGACACGACCCACACCACACGACCCACACCACACTACCCACACCACGCTACCCACACCACGCTACCCACACCACACTACCCACACCACGCTACCCACACCACACTACCCACACTACCACACACCACACTACCCACACCACACTACCCACACCACACTACCCACACCACACTACCCACACCACACTACCCACACCACACTACCCACACCACACTACCCACACCACACTACCCACACCACACTACCCACCCACACTACCCACACCGCACTACCCACACCGCACTACCCCACCACCACACGTACCCACCCGCACTACCCACACCGCACTACCCACACCGCACTACCCACACCGCACTACCCACACCGCACACCACACTACCCACACCACACTACCCACACCACACTACCCACACCACACTATCCACACCACACTACCCACACCACACTACCCACACCACACTACCCACACACTACTTTACCCACATAAACTACTCACTCAACACCCACAAACACTACATACAAAAACAAATAGCCGAATTGGAGAGGGGTCTGCGGAGGTGACGACGGCGGCTTGACCAGGCTCTCGCTCAGCAGTGGCCAGGGCACTGCTGGTGTTGTTGATGTTGATGATGTTGTTGATGTTCTTCTTGGGTCTTTCGGTAAAGTCACGTAGAAGGGAAATAATAAAATAATAAAAATAAAACATAATAAAATAATTCTCACGACGTTTCGGCCACGACGCAAGCAGCCGTCCTCAGGTGAATAACAGGTCTGTCGGGAAGACAGCGTCTGAATGAAACACCCCAGGCTTGGCAGCGTATATTTAAGCTGGGTTGGAGGGGGAAGAGCGCCTTGACAACATAATTTGCATATCAAGAGTAATTTAGCATATTTATGGGAAATGCAGATATGGGATTAGTTGATGATGTTGATGTTGATGATGAATCGGCCGGTACTCGCTGCCTTAACGCAGCATCCACGTCATCACTTCTTGTTCTTTCGAATAGCTGATGTTGATGCAGAGCAACGACTCCAATTCCACATCCAGGTGGTCAAGCCGGATAAGCGCATCGGGCGTAGCGGGGTTTATTGCCCTGATATCTCCTTCATATTGGTGGATCGGGCATTGCGTCGCTACGCGTTGTGCGGTCTGTTGTGGATGACCACAATCATGGCACACTATTGGAGAGTTTTTAATTTTCCACTTGTGCACTGTGACTGCCGCACTTGTTTTTTTCCCCGTTCATTGCCAACGTTGCCCTCCCCTTTCTCTCCGCTCTCTACCCTCTTGTCCCACACGTCTGTGAATCTCACCGTCTCGTCATTGTCTCCCATTCCCCCCCCCTCCCTCCCCGCGTCCCGCACAGCCGGATCTGGGATACAGCATCAGGACAGTGTCTCAAGACACTCATAGGTGGGTCCCCACCTCCAGCCCCCCCCCCAACTACTCACCATCTCACCAAGTAGTGGAGTCCGTGTGGACTCGGACAGAGTGATCAGGTGTTTTACGAGGGGGTCGGGTCAAGCAGAGCCTCGTGCGGCCTCGCAATCCCTCTCCCAGGCCGGCAGTCGTCCACGCACTCTGGCGCTTGCTTCGCGACCGCACGAATGCATTCTCAGAGAGATGGATCGATGCGTAATCATTGCACGGCATGGTTGCGCCTTGTGCGTGGCCACCTCTGTGCAGGCTGTCCCTGTGTGAGCTGCCCCGGGTTAGCCCGGCCTACACCCCCCCCCCCTCACTCTCTTTGTCTCCCCCCTCTTCCTGCAGACGACGACAACCCCCCTGTGTCATTTGTCAAGTTCTCTCCCAACGGGAAGTATATCCTTGCCGCCACGCTGGACAGGTGGGGGCGCTCGCACGCACCGCCAGCGCCTGACATGAATGCTCACACGGTCACAATGTTGGATGTGCGAGTGTACATCGTGTGTGGGGGGCGGTCGTGCAGTGGTTTGCGCTCTACACTACGAACCTGGCCACCTGAGTTGGATTCCCGCTCACGACCAACACCAGTGACGATTATCTGAACTGGTCTTGGGCCTCCCCTAGGTCGACTCGGCCTCAAATGAGTACCTGGTGTGGTGTGTAATCATCCTTCATAGGTGCTCGCTAACAGCACTTGCCCCTACAGTCTGTTAAGGCTATGCAGGGGATCTTTGTACATTCTCGTTCGTATATGTTGGGGGGGTGTGCGTAGCGTAGCAGTGGTGCAGTGATTAACACACTGCGCTATGAACCCCGAGCCGCCCGAATTCGATTCCCGACCACTGCCAAGACATCAGAGGTGATCATCTGAACCGGCCCCATGCCTCCCCTTCGGTGGACTTTACCTGGTAAAATAAAAAGAGTTTAGTTTGATTTGCATTTCGTTATTTTTATTTGCTTACATTTTCTATAATTTGCACTCCGGTTGTGTTTTTGTATTGTTGCTGTAACGTTCTAACCCACCCCGACTGGACATCTGTGGAAAAGGGGCTTTATCGCACATCGGGTTCCTCCGGTATAAATAAATATTCAGATTCTGACCCGGCTTTAAACAAATGAGTAGGTGGTGCGGTGTGTAAACATCGGCACTGGGGAGACGGAGGCGGCCGGGCTCCCCACCCTCTTGTGCGCCGCTGGCGGCCTGCGTAGGTGCTGCTTGCAAACAGCACTTGCCCCAAGAGTCTGTACAAGCTCTACGGGTGACCTTTGTCTTTGTGTAACACAGCTGTACCCCTACCCCACCCCAGTACCCTGAAGTTGTGGGACTACAGCAAGGGAAAGGTGAGATGCCCTCACTGACTACAGTCCACCCACACAGCCAACACCTCGCTACACAATACGCAACTCCAGTTCTGTACGGCGAAGGTGAGAACTCGAGAGGGAGAGACCGGGATAGAGAGAGAGTCCTCATCTTGCAACAGCGTGTGTCAGCTGGGGGTCACGGAAGTGACAACCGCTAAAGCAAATAAAAATAACAGACCGCAATGAAATGAATAGAAATCGGGGACAAAAGCAACCACATCAAGCGACATAACGAATGCGTTGCACGCGGCGTGAATCGCTGTTAAAAATTAGATTCCTCCTGTCGCGCGAGTTGGCCTTGGGCAGCATGTTATCGTACCAATCGCAGCACTATTATTACCACACTTGAGTTACAGAAGCATTACACGGACGACATCAGGTGACTTGTCGCAATGCCTAAACAAACGAGGGAACACGAAGAATCGACTCGGGCGGCCGGGCGGGCGCGTTGGTGCTGGCCACCCACCTCTCCTCCTCGTCAGCAGTGCTGGCCTCCTTCACGGGCCGCCACGGTGGCGAGATGTTAACCACCTTCGCCTGTCATGCAGCAAACTGTGGGTTTCATCCCGAGCTTAACGACGCTCGCTATATATTTGGAGTTTGCGTCTCTCTCCCCATGGCCACGTGGATTCTTGGCTGCAGAAATTCTCGTCTGAGAAAGAGCTACACAGCCCAGTGTGCCTTACCTGGTAAAGAATGTCATCGCTTTTGAGTTTAGTTTTCACAGGCGCTGCCACTCGATAACTCCACTTGCCGTGACAGGCTCGTGAAGGCGACACGGGTCTGCATGTGTGCGAGTGATAGTGTTGCAGTTAGCGTGCTGCGCTACAAACCCAGCGGCCCGAATTAAATTAGCGCTCACTGGCCAACCAGAGGTCGCAAACGGGTTTTGATTCCTTACCCGTACCCGGCCGCACCAGGGTCGCAAACGGCTACCCGTACCCAGCCGGGTATCGGGTAGGGTACGGGTATCGGGTAGGGTACGGGTATCGGGTAGGGTACGGGTATCGGGTAAGGTACGGATATCGGGTAGGGTACGGGTATCGGGTACGGGTATCGGGTAGGGTACGGGTATCGGGGAGGGTACGGGTATCGGGTACGGGTATCGGGTAGGGTACGGGTATCGGGTAGGGTACGGGTATCGGGTAGGGTACGGGTATCGGGTACGGGTATCGGGTACCCGGTTGCGACCTCTGCGGCCAACACGAGTGATAATTATCTGAACTGGTTCTGGGCCTCCCCTAGGTCGCCTCGGCATCGCCACTGGGTAGACAAACACGGTCGGGCATTGTGCTGGCTACTCGCCCCACTAATGTGTGCCGTGCCGGCCTTCATAGGTGCTCGCTAACTGCACTTGCGCCAACCCGTCTTTGAAGGCTCTGCGGGTGATCTTTGTCTTTGCCCCTGTGCAGTGCCTGAAAAGGTACACGGGACACAAGAATGAGAAGTACTGCATCTTCGCCAACTTCTCCGTCACGGGAGGGAAGGTGCGAGCCCTTGCTGCTGCTGCTGCTGCTGCTATCATTGTGGTGGTGGTGGTGGTGTTTGTGGTGTCGGGTTGTTGTCGCGTCGGCTCATGATGACATTAACTCCTCTGTCTGGTCTCGCACCTCATAAGCTCACATTGATGACATCACCTTTACTCTTTTTAAGACCAAGCAGGAAGACTTCTTCACAATTCTGCTAAATCGCTTGATGGAGCTGGTTGTAATAACCAGCGAAACGTCACATACTCGCATTGTAAATGTTGTGGGTTCACTCTTCCAACACACAAGCGGCGTGCTGAACTAGTAACTAATTGGCATATTTTGTTTACGCGAAAAATCCTTACTAATTGGCTGTGGCAGGGTTTAACGACGCATTTATGCAATCTAACGCAAAAAGAACCGTTGTTATGCATCAGGTTGTTGTGTGTGGTGGTGTCTTTATTATCGGGGAGGGGGGCGTGAAGGGAGTCCTTAATCCAGCAGTGAATTGACCATGGCTGCTGTTGACCGCCGTGCGTTGCGCGTCTGTCTGTCTGTGTGTGTGTGTCTGTGTGTGTGTGCGTGTCTGTGTGTGTGTGTCTGTGTGTGTGTGTCTGTGTGTGCGTGTCTGTCTGTGTGCGTGTGTGTCTGTGTGTGTGTGTGTCTGTGTGTGTGTGTGTCTGTGTGTGTGCGTGGGGACTCGCCGCTGGCCCGCAGTGGATCGTGTCCGGCTCCGAGGACAACCTGGTCTACATCTGGAACCTGCAGACCAAGGAGATTGTGCAGAAACTGCAGGGACACACGGGTGCATGCACCACCCCCCACACCCCCCACACCCCTCGCCCCTCCGACTCGCAATCCTATCCCCACCCCCCCCTGACCTCTGACGTTGCCTGGAGCCGTCCCGAGTGTGCTGAGAATCGGGGCGACCTCCCCGGGCCCCGCGCTTTGGGGGATTTGGCCTCCGCGCTCCGACGTCACGGTGTTGGACGTATTTACTTGCGGTTCAGTTAGAAAGCGTGGAGAGGCCCACGCAGTGTGACTTGCCCAGGACCCCGCACCGCCCCCTATGGACGGCCCTGACCTTGCCTTATCTAGTAAGATAAATAATAGTCTAGTTTTATTTGTGTGTAATGTTTAAAGTGATTTGTTTACCTGGCCTATAATTTGCACTCCTGTCGTGTTTCTGTATTATTTTTTGTTGTAATATTATGACCTGCCCCGACTGGACAGCTGTGGACAAAGGAGGTTTATAGCTCATCGGATTCCTCCAGCGCAAATCAATATTCTCATTCTGATTCTGCCCAATGTCGAGGTCCTGCTGCTGTTGCTGCTGCTGCTGCTGTTGCTGTTGTTGCCGGCCACTCCAGGAGGGCCTCGGCAGAGAGGCGCGAGTTTCGCCACCACCACCACCACCACCCTGCCGCCCATACTCATCGCCACTCTCCCTTCTGCCTTTTTCTCCCCTCCCGACCCCCCGTACAGACGTGGTGCTGTGTACCGCGTGCCACCCCACAGAGAATATCATCGCGTCAGCCGCGCTTGAAAACGACAAAACCATCAAGCTGTGGAAGAGCGACTGTTAGGGGCGGGCGGGGGTTGGGTTAGGGGGGTGGGAGGGGTGGGGGGCGGGGCGGCCGCTTCACAGTCGTACCCACAATCCTGTGCGTTTGTCGGGAGGCTTAAAAGGGTCACGGTCCGCAAGCGGAATTTTTATGGCGACGGCCGGGCCAGCGGAAACAAATGCTGCGGGCGCGTGAGGGCGCGTGAAACCGCGTGAGGGCAAGCCGGGGGGCGCCGGGGGGCGGTGGGGGGCGCTGGGGGGTGGCGTAGTTGCGGGAGGCGTTTCCTCTCCGAGACGGCGGGGAGGGGGGGAGCGCGCGTGCCATGCGTGAGGAGGAAGGCGTCGGGGGAGGTCGCGATGTACGGCCACGGGACGAATTTCACCAGGAGAGAGGAAGGTGAAATCTCCTTGGGGGAAGGCGAATTTGTCCATCTCTCGTGACGCCCCGAGTCAAATGGAGACATCCCAGCTTGTTGTCCCCCCCCCCCCGCAACTCCGATTAGCACGGTTGGCTACGTACGGTGCAAAAGAAGTTCCATACATACAAAGTTTACTGTACATACATCGTGGCCGGGAGCGGAGGTTTAAACGTGAAGATGGGAGATTAGACTGCAGCCCCCCCCCACCCCCGTGACCTCTACGTCGCCGAAGGCAGCGTGTGAAACAGGAGGAGAATTTGAACTCTGAGCTTCTAATAATCACTGGGTCTCATCGGTCAGCCAGTCAGGCATTCAGTTAATCATAGTCACTTGGTTCATTCAATAAATGTGTCAGTCCAGTATTTCAATCAGGTCACTCAGTCACTCGCTCAGTTACACAATCAGCCCATCACTTGGTCACTAGGTCATTCATTCAAGCAGTCACTTAGTCAATCGTTCGAACCAATCGCTGTCACTAAGTCACGAGTCAGTTGCTCATTAAATACGTTTCATTTAAAAGCATCCCACGCATGCACCGACTTGGAAGCCGCCATACATTTTTCAGGATTTGACGAGTGTGACGCGCATGACCTCTGCCATCCGATTGTTCATTGCCGTCCCAGTCGCCCACCAGGGGGAGCCGCGATCGGATGTCTGCAGATTTTGGGGCGACTCGTGACCTTGACAGCAGGAAACGCAGCGGCAACTATCCCTGCTGACAGTCGCCCTACAATCTCCCCACTGAGTCATGACCTTAGACACGCTTGGATGGGGGTGGACAGAAGTGGCGGTGGGGGCGGGAGGTTGTGACGAGAGAGTGGAAGATGGTGAAGGTGGCCCTGGTGTGTGTCGCCCCGTTGCTCCGAGCGTCGCCTGGTTGCGAGAAAGATCCGACTGATCGACTCGGGTCGCGGTCGCGGATTGCGAGGTTTCTCTTCAGTCTGCCTCCTCTCCTTCCCTCCCAGAGCAGAGGTCGGGCAACATTCGGCCCCACGGGATCCAGACTTAACCCCCCCCCCCCCCCCCCCAGATACTTAACTTCATACGGCCCGCTCTTAGCTCTTATTTATATTTTAAACTTCCCATTCATTTTTTTTTATTGGCCAGCAGGTTTAGATTTCACGCACACACGGTCCACAGCAACATGTTAAGCGCCACTCGGTCACTTCGGTCAGCCACGAGGGGCCCTCCCTCCCCCCACCCCGTTAACCTGGCCAACGGGCGCACAAGCATCTTCACCTTCGTGACGCGAACACCAGGGTGCGTGCAGACGGGGCGGGTGCGATTGCCCGTCGCCAGAGAAGTGATTTGATCTGTTTGGGAACCTCGGTTAGTTGGTGGGGGAAGTTTCCCCGGCAACCCTTCCTGTGCCAACAAGGCTGGGCCTCTGTCGTCTCGAGGCTAAACCGGGGGTGGCCCAAGAACTTAAAACCTCCGTGAACCTGGCTCGGCCACAACAACAGCATCACCAGCACCGCTGCCACCAGTCGCCAGGTGCGGCTGCTGGCCTCCGAGTTGGAACGCGGACAAGGCAACATCCATTGGTGGACCCGCTAGAAGCCCGACCCTCATCGTCACGATTCACGGACAGACAGCCCCGTAGGTGTCCGCTGCACATTTTGTCATTCGTTTCCTGGCCCCTCGGTGTCGGGAAACTGGAAACTCTGAGGTAGAAAGGCTGAATGGGGATTTATGTCAGAGGGGTTTGTGTTGTGTGCGGGTCGTCTTGGCCTTGGCGTCAACGCGGGACCAAACGAACTTCAGCCTCTTTACCGATTTGTTTTAATTTTCCTCGCTGCAAAACCTAACCGTGCCGGAGACTGCGGGGGTGGGGGGGGGTAACGGGCACGGTCTGATGCCACGAGCGATGTTACAGCGGCGCCATCGCCTGTCTCCGGGTGGCACCCGGCACGCCCGTTGTACTTCTGTCACTGCGAGGTGCGCGCCACCGATTTCAGTCGACCAGCGATCGGCCACAACGCATCTAAGAATGCCTCTCGCCGCCCGTGGCCGTGGCTTCTCCGCGTCAAGTCCCGCATGCTCCTACAGTCTACCGGCGGCACTATTTCGGCACACCACATCCAGTATTCCTGTCGCTATGATGACCGTGGCTCTTCACGAGTCGGGCGCCAGTGATTATCGTCTATTTTTCTTTTTTAAATCGGCATCCCGGACGAAGATCCGATGGAGAAATTGAGCCCCTGGCGTTGAGGATCTGGGGGGGGGACTGGGGAAGACCCCTCGGCCTTGCCTCCGAGGGGGGGGGGGGGGGGTCGCGCGCGTCGAGACATTTCGGCCGGTGTTAATTTTTTTAAATTGTCATCAGTTTGTTTTGAAGTAAAATGGAGTGATAACCCGAACAACGAGTGCGCCTCGGGTGGTGAATTGTCCTTGCACTACGGCGGCCCTTCCCCCTGTCGGAGTGGCTCTGCTGATGAAGGGTGTGGTCTGAATCGTCTTGAAGCCGGATTCGGTGAGAGAAGCCACATTTGAGGGATAGTTTGGGATCTTTACTGGACTTGTGTATCATTTAGGACGTGAGATATTTGTTGATGTGCGATTACAAATGTTTGATTTTTCGACAATATTTTACTTAGCCTATCGGCAATATTAAATACTTGCCGATAAAGAACAGAATCGGACCGGACAGCAGTAAGCTTCAGTTTCACAGATGTGGCCACAGGCCGACTCTGAGTTTAAACGCGGCCTTCGTGCTGAACAATGGGGACGTCGCCAGACACCACGTGACGACCCTCACGGGGCTCCCAGCCCAAACGAACCTCCCAGCCCAGACGAACCTCCCAGCCCAGACGAACCTCCCAGCCCAGACGAACCTCCCAGCCCAGACGAACCTCCCAGCCCAGACGAACCTCCCAGCCCAAACGAACCTCCCAGCCCAGACGAACCTCCCAGCCCAAACGAACCTCCCAGCCCAGACGAACCTCCCAGCCCAGACGAACCTCCCAGCCCAAACGAACCTCCCAGCCCAGACGAACCTCCCAGCCCAAACGAACCTCCCAGCCCAGACGAACCTCCCAGCCCAGACGAACCTCCCAGCCCAAACGAACCTCCCAGCCCAGACGAACCTCCCAGCCCAGACGAACCTCCCAGCCCAGACGAACCTCCCAGCCCAGACGAACCTCACCGACGGCGTCGACCGAGACACCCAACAACTCTCCGGCCGTGCAATTATCGCGTGAATGACGAGGAGGGGAGGCCATCGTCCAGCGGTGGGTAGACCGTGGCTGATGGCGAATCACAAACCCCGACACCTGCACAGAAACGACGAGCCATGCCCTGGACGTCACCGACAACTCGAGCGGAACGTGGAGCCGCCTACTCTGTTGGCCGCCCCTCCCGCTGGGCCTCCCCCCGAGGTCGACACAATCGGCGGCTGGAAACTGCAAAGATCTTCCGAGTTCAACCCGTGACGGTTCACACATTCCTCCTCCTGCTGCTGCGGAGGGAGCTGCTGGTAGGAACGTTGGTGGGTTTCTCGGGCAATGGCCTGCAGGGTCAACGGCCAGGGCGTGGTGTATTCCCCAAATATGCCCGACTGTGAGGGCGGGCACAAGCCGGCGTGAGTAGGTTAAACGTTGAGTTTTATAAGGGCACCACGGGGTGACCAGCCCCTCCCCACCCAGCCCCTCCCCACCCAGCCCCTCCCCACCCAGCCCCACCCCTCCCACCCCCCACGCAGCCTAACCCTCCCCACCCAGCCCCTCCCCATCCAGCCCTTCCCCACCCAGCCCCACCCTTCCCACCCAGCCCCTCCCCACCCTCCCAGCCCCACCCAGCCCCTCCCACCCCCCACCCAGCCCCACCCTCCCCACCCAGCCCCACTCCCCACCCAGCCCCACCCTACCCACCCAGCCCCTCCCCATCCAGCCCTTCCCCACCCAGCCCCATCCTCCCCACCCAGCCCCTCCCCACCCTCCCCTCCCAGCCCCACCCTCCCCACCCAGCCCCTCCCCTCCCAGCCCCACCCTCCCCATCCAGCCCCTCCCCACCCTCCCCACCCAGCCCCTCCCCACCCTCCCCTCCCAGCCCCACCCTCCCCACCCAGCCCCTCCCCACCCAGCCCCTCCCCACCCTCCCCTCCCAGCCCCACCCTCCCCACCCAGCTCCTACCCACCCTCCCCACCCAGCCCCACCCAGCCTCTCCCCACCCAGCCCCTCCCTGCACCACGGACACAATAATCCCCTGTGGGCTGGTGTAGCAGGAGGTTCCTACCAGTAAAACATTCACGAAAACAGGAATTATATCGTTTTACCACGAGGCCGTTTTCCACTTCGCCTTTATTAACGCCGCTATTTCAGCCACGCGCGTCATAATGATTCAATATCCACTCCGTGGGCGGCGTTTTTAAAGTCCTTTAAATGAAAGTTATCAGATCGATGGATGGTGTCTGACGATGATGACGGCGATGCTGCTGCTGCATCACAACGATGCGCGCACACAGCATCACAGTCACACGTGGACACGACACCTCCATTCACACAGCCAGTGGCGGTGACGGCGATTGTGCCAGGCTAGGTGCACTTCACACACAGGCACAGTACAATCACACGCAAAGATTGTTCGCAAAGCCTCAACGTCCTGTTAAAAGGCGTTGTTT